GGGGGGGGGGGGGAGAAGACGGCGGAGAGAGGTGGCAGCGGGCTCGGAGGCGGCGGCGAGGGCGGGGGCGGCGAGGGCAGCGCGCCGCTCTGCGCCCTGCGGGTGCGTCGCGTGGTGCGACTCGTGCCTGCGAGCAGACGGTGCGAGCTGGGGGTGCGAGCTGAGGGTGCGAGCAGAGGGTGCGAGCTGGGGGTGCGAGCTGAGGCTGGAGGGCCGTCTCTCTATTCCGCGAGACGGCGAGTGCACAGCGCAGACGCGGCGTCGACACGGCGGAATGGCGTCGAATACGGCGGGATGGCGTCGAATACGGCGGGATGGCGTCGAATACGGCGGAATGCGCGGCCCCTCGGGCGCTGCTTGGAGTGCGGCGGACGACTCTGCGCCAGGGGTGCATTCTCCACTGTGCATGCATGACTGGTGTGTGGCCGTTGGGGTGGCGAAGCCCCCTGGCTGCGCCAGTCGCTGCGGGTAGCTGACTTGGCGACATGCGTCGGGTCTGCGGCCTTGAGCGGTGTCTGTGTCTGTGCAGCCTCTGGAGGCGCCGCACCCCATCAGGAAGCGCAGGCCGTACGAGAAGGACCACAGAGGCGCCTGGAGGCGGCGGCGGCGGCGGCGGGTGGGGATGCTGCGCGTCGGGCGGCGGCGGCGAGCGAGGTGGGGAGGCGGCAGCGGCGAGGGCGGTGGGAGGCGGCAGCGGTGGGGGCGGTGGGGCGGGAGGAGACGTGGCAGCGCGCCTCTGCGGGGTCGTCCCCTTTGTCAAAGTTCGCGCTCCACGGGAAGTGGAAGTACGCCAGCGCGCCTGCGAGAGGCCTCCAGGAAAGGTCTGGGACAAGTCTGCGCGCGGGACTGGGAGGAGTACACGCACGCAGCGCGCCCGCGTGCGACGCATGCGTCCACGACGGCCGCACGTCCCACACGGCTCGGACCAGCGCCGCGCATTCCGCAGGGCTCAGGGCGCCAGCGACGGACACAAAGTACGCCGTCGACCCGTTGAGCACCTGGACGGGCTTGTCGCCTCCATGCCGAAAGCGCGGCGGGTCGAGACCCACGGCGAAGAGTGCCATCGGGCCGGCAAGACCGACGCACGTGGCTGGAAGCAGTCGCCACCAAGGCAGCAGCGCGGCCGCGGTGCAGGCGAGCGCGACCAGAAGCAGGCCAGCGTCGGCGCGGAAGTAGCCGAGGAGCGGCACTGGGAGGAATAGCTGGCCCGCAGCAGTCGTGGCACGAGCGGCGACCCAAGAGAGGAGCGCGCCGATGAGCGCGCCGCGCAAGAGCATTCGGCTGGAAGTGGGATACCTAGGGCCCTTTGAGGGAATTCGGCGGCGACGGAAGCGGCCGGCTAGAAGCGGCCTGGCCGGGGGCGGCTACTCATTCTGCGCCATTCGAGCTTTTAAAAAACGCCCAGCCACAACTGTACTCGAGTATGGCTTTTTGCCTATGCGCGCGCGACGACTTGCACTCTTTCGTGCCGCTCGCTCGCCGGTGCGCGGGGCATGGCCTCCCGCGCGGCTCGCGCTCACTCGGCCTGCCTCCGCCTCACGGCTGTTTGAGCACGCCATGCCCATGGGTCCGCCTGGTGCGGCGCTGCTCGCTCGCTGCGCTGCACAAAGCTGCGAGAAGCAGGGTGGCCTCCTGAGCTTGAGCATTGCGCAGCGCGGCCGCTGGTGCTCGAGGGCGGCCGTGCGGTGGCGTGAGGGCCTGATTGGTGGTGACCTCCTGCTGCATCAGCGTGCGCAGCATGCTCCCTCACCCGGTGCTGAGACATGCTGGTGGGCGACTGGCGCCAGCTTCTCAGTGCTGTCCTTGGCGTTGTGCAGCATGTCGCAATACTCCTGTTGCGCTGACCGGCGCGGGGTGCGTCGTGCCGCGCGTGGAGCGAGAGGCTCGAGGCGCGCGGCTGTCGGTCAACCCCGCGGCGCATGCGCGCCGCCAAGGCTGCTCGACAGGCGACTGGCATTGTGGCGACGCGGTCGCCGCTACTCCAACTTCGCTTTGCCAATCGAATTCCGGTCGGTTATAACGGCGGAAGTTTGGTCGGGGGGTACGGCGTCTGTATTCTCGTATTATTTCAAACAAGGTATGGGGGGGGGGGGGGACGTATTCCCGTTCACTAACTAGCTCCGAGTAGAGGGGGCGTCCTTGCAGTTAATTAAGGGGAAACCTGGTACGCGGGTCCAACCCTCGGAGAGTATTCTTTAGCTCCGAGTAGAGGGGGCGTTCCGCAGCTAGGGGGACCCACAGCGCGAGGGGGAAAAATTCCGCCGCTGGCGGCTGGGGGAAACCCGGAGCGCAGAACTAACCCTCGGAGACCCGTGTTATGGCCCTGCGAACGCGCACCCCCTTAGGCTGAACAAGCTTTTCCTCTCGCACCCCGTCTGTTTTCCTTTCCTTTTTTCTCTACGACACCCTTTTTTCTTTTCTATTTTCCCGGGAAAACTCCGTGGAAATCGTCAAATTTTGGGCTCTGAGCCGAGTCTGAGGCTGGTTTGGGCCCCAAATCAGCCAAATTTTAGGCCAAATCGGCAAAAAGACAGGAATTTTGCGGAGAACCCGTGTAAACCTGGAAATTACCCTGCGACCGCCTAGGTATTTTGTCGATTTCCTCAATTTTGCCTCAGATTTTGCCCCAGTGCCCAGACCAGCTCTCAGACTCAGGGAAACTCGCGAGTTTCCAGAATGGAGCACCAAACACCCTCTGTTTTCCCTGGAAATTTCCGGAAACGCAAAGTGCTGGGGACCCTCTGTTTTCCTGTTTGCTTGCCGGAAAAGCTTGTTCAGGCCAAGCACCCCCCAGGGCTAGGGCTCTCTTGCCCTGGCGCAGAAGGTGGGCAAGCTGGTGCTCGTGATCACGCGCGAGCAGGAGCAGCAGGGGCTCATGTACGACGGCTCGGTTCCGTTCATGCTGAACGGGCGCAAGTTCCGCCCGCCGGTGCGCGGCGTGTGGTTCGCCGTGGCGAGCAAGGGGTACGCGGTCTTCGCGTGGGCGTCGGCCGCGGGCGTGACGCATCGCAAAGGGTTGAAAAAGAAATCTTCGTTAGACAAAAGGTGAGAAGCCGGGAAAGGCGCGAAATACTTCCCATAACCCATAAAGAAAGAAAGAAAACGGCGGAAAACCCAAAGGCACAAGGGAGGGAACGCTCACGGCACGCCGCCACCAACACAGGGATATCATAGATGTAAAGGAGGGAGTGTGGTGCTAGCCGCGTCGCCCATGAAAGGAACCCAAGGGAAAAGGGTTTTAAGAAACAAAATTAAAGAAGTGGGAAAAGCACTGCCGCCCAAAGTCCGACGGACTGAGTACGATGAAGTTCGGCGCGAAGATCAAGTCGCGAGTGGCGGCGCTCGAGGCCTTCATCTCTCGAGACGCCTTCATCGACTACGACGGCCTCAAGCGGATCATTGACGACGGCATGAGAGCCTCGGCAACACTCGGCAACACTCGACCCCACTCGAGCCTCCTCCCGCGCCGCAGCTCGTCGTCGTCGTCTTGCTCTGCGCGGCGGCGGCCGCGGTGGTCACGTCCGCGCCGCCGCCGCCCGAGCCGGCGTCGGGCCTGTCTTGGGGGTGGTGGACTTTCCTCGCCATCTGCAGCTTCGCCAACGTGCGCATCCTCTCCGAGATCTGGCCGCGTGACCTGCAGAGGCGGGAGGCCGAGCTCACTGCCGCGCGGGCGGCGCTGCTCGAGCGCTCCTTCCCGGCCGACTTTGACCCGAGCGGCAGGCAAGCACGCACGCACGCACGCACGCACGCACACGCACACACGCACGCGCGCACGCACGCACGCGCGCACGCACGCACGCACGCACACGCACACACGCACGCGCGCGCGCACGCACGCACGCACGCACGCACGCACGCACGCGCACGCACGCACGCACGCACGCACGCACGCACGCACGCACGCACGCACGCACGCACGCGGTCTCCACCGCCGCCGCTTCCCCCGCCGCCGTCTCCGCTGCCGCCCCTCCTTCGCTACTGCTTTCACCGCCGCCGTCGCCGCCACCACCCCCAGGCTGGCCGTGGTGAACACGCTGCCCTCGGCGCTCACCGCGCTCGGCGGGCCGGCGCGGATCGGCGCCCCGCCCGCCGCCTCGGAGGCGACCCGCCGCTACCAGGCCGAGCTGCGCTGGTGCGCCCTCCTCTACGTCGCCGGCTGCGGCATCCGCGCCGTGTGGCCGCGGATCGACGTCGAGCGCGTCTGCTTCTTCGACTCGCCGCTCAGCGTGACCCTCGTCGGCCGGTCCTCCCCGCCCTCGCCACCACTGCCCTCGCCGCCCCCCCACGCCGCCGCCACCATCACCGCCCCCCGCACCACTCCCGCCCTCAGCCCCGCCCTCGCCGCCTCCACCATGCTCCCCCACTCCCGCCCCTCCTCTCCCTCTCCCGCTCCCCCACTCCCGCCCCTCCTTCGCTCAGTGCCTGCCTCCCTGCTCTCGTCTCGCAGCCTCGCGCCCCGCACAGCCTCCCCTCGCCGCCCCGTCACCTCCCCCTCCCCCCTCCCGCAGCGCGGTCGCCACCGTCGCGGAGCTCTGCCTCGCACACCAACTGGGCCTCGTGTTTGGCCGCCTCGGCGCAGACTTGGAGGCGGAGCATACCCGCCTCTCCCCCCCTTCAGGGGGGGGGGTGCCCCCCGGGGGGGGGAGTTTTCCTTCCCCACCCATGGGGCCTTGGGGTTTGGGCCCCTCGGGGGAACTTGGGGGGGGGGGGAATCCCCCTTTTTCCCCCGCGGGGGTTGGTTTTTTTTTTTTCGGGGGGGGGTTTTTTTTCCCAAGGGGCTTTTTTTTTCCCGGGGGTTTTCCCATTCCGGGGCGCCTTGGCCCTTCGGAGGAAATCTCTGGGGGCGAAACCAAGCCTTTTTGGTTTTCCCGGGGGGGGGAAAAAAAAAAGCCTCCTCCCGGTGTCCGGGAGGGGGGCCAAACCCTGTTTTCACCCCCCCGGCCCGTGGTTTGGTTTTTGGAAAAACCCTTTTCCTCAAAATCCTTTTCG